CACTCACATTTGTTACAGTTTTCAGTTTTAGTTAGCAGATAATTAATACAATAATTTCGCAGTAGCTAAAAATTGGCACAGGTAATATATTTCAAGCCCAGCTTATTCAGTATTGTTTTACAATAATAAATACTAATCTCCCACACCAAATCACATATGATTCATTATTGTTGTTATGAATCACCATCATCAAGGCATTTTTGTTGAAATTATCATGTGATAATGTAAAGTTATGATGTTATAAAAAACTTTACTTCTGACAGTGGTGATTCACACATAAAACTAAACAAAAGGTGCCACTGCTGTAATTGCTTAATTGCCATTGACATGCATTGTCTCTGACAACCCAATATAATTAATGTAAATGTGTTTTATGGGTAAAAATGACCACTGATGTGTTAATTGTAGGTATGCACCACTGTTTTATTGGGCCTCATTAAAAGGTAGATAATTTCATAATACATGTAATACGTTGTACACAGATATGTCATAGGATATAATTTTGTAAGATTGTATGCAAATATAACATGTACATTGTGTAACACTAAGACCTTAGTGCTATTTGCCACCTCTAATACATGGAGTAAAATTTGTGTTGTGTTCTTTATTAACAAAGTCCTTAAAATTGACTTATATGTAGTATAAGATGAATTTTGTGTTTTTAAATATTTTGATTTAAATTTTTTTTTTAATTCTGTTATACTGTAAATTGTTGTCTAAGTCAATGTAATTTGTTTGTTGTGTCTTGAAAACATACAAATACATCTCTCCACCAGATCTGTTGGAACAAATGAACTTGTTGATAGGTGAAAGTCAAATAATTTCTCAAATAAATAACTGGCAAAATATATAAAAGTTTCACATATCGGCTTCAGAACTTAGCAAAACCTCTGGCAGAAGCCATTATATAGGTAATGTCTATAAGAAAAGTACAACACACAAATTTCATTTCCTGTCTCCTACATGGTATGAATAATTAAGTATGTTGTATAATTAGGTTGCAGTTTATTTTTACTAATAGTTTCTTGATGTATCACCTCATGAGGTGAACATTTCATTCTATGTAGTTATTACTGCTAGAATCCATTCTGAAATAATTTCTGTAGCTTTACTGAGTGGTCTTAGGACTATTATTTGCAATATTTAATGGTAAAAATACACACAATTTGGAAAGATTTGAGCCATTTCTTTGTGAATCATGTTGCATCGAAATACTGTTCAAACAAAGGGAGGCCAAAATCATCATTGACACTTACATTTCACACATATTTAGGCTATCAATTATTTAACATCTTATCTCAAAATTCAGCTGTAGTGGTGATTGATGCCTGAACCTTAAACCATTAACACCCTCTCAAGAACAAAAGACGGCAGAATTGGGTGTTTATGCTTGTTTTAATATAACGTTTATTGTTATTTTTCCATGACAGATTATTATATGAAGAAAATAAAATCACTTGAAATGGTTCTTAGAGATAGGAATATTAGGAATGAAGAGCAGGAAAAAGATCTTGAGAAAAAAGACAAAAGAATGAATTTATTGGAACAAAAACTGAAAGCTCAGGAGAAGAAATTTGTTGATGAGCTGAAGGGACAAAAACAGTACATTGCTTCAATCACTGGTGAATTAGAACAAAAGTCAGCACATATTGCTTACTTGACAACACAGTTACATCAGGAAAAACTGAGACGCAAGAACCGTGATGATCGCTCAGTTGAAAGGTCTGAAAATAAGGACACCAAAAAACCATTACCTCCAAGAGAGGCAGCACCAGGTAGCGGGAGGCGGAGACTGATGAGGAGTACAACTTCACCCGTGCCTGTTGATAGCAAAACTGGAACTTTTAAAATTACTCCACCATCTTCAGCCAAAGGTACTAGTTATGTATCTAATGGTCGTATTGGAAGTGGGGGTCGCAGGCTACCCACTCAACCTGTAAGGTCAGACTCTCCGTCTATTTTGGGAGATGCTCCTGATCCCAGGCCATTCCTGGTTGCCAGTGAACCCACCAATGGCAGTGTATGCATCGAAATGAAACCTAGTCCTCCAGTACTGCCACCTATCACTGCCCTTGATGATGCAGAGGCCAAGCACACATTGAGCAGGAGGAAATTCAGAGTACCGAACAGACTCGCCGTGGATCAGATCACTGACCAAGAGCATCGCAGCTATGAAAAATCACCAACAGACTGTAGCTAACTTTATCCACTTTATTCAACACTCCAATTAAAAAAAAACCCTGAAAGTTTTAAAAGTCAAAGATTTTTTTAGATGATGTGTGTACTTTGGGCTTGTGCATTAAATGCTTTACCTGGTTTACATATTTCTTTAAACATATAATACTTTATTTTTCGTGTGTGCTTTTCTACTAGCATTTCAAATATGGATCATGGCTATCTGTGTTTTTGTAATCGGTGTAATGTATTGAGTGTGAGAGAGTAAGAGTTGGTGCTGTTTATTTTTAATCTATGCATAGTGATGAAAACTGCCAAGCAGGACAATGTTTACTCTACTTATTGTCAGTAATTAAAATAATTGCTGTGTTTGATGATTCATATCAGTGTCAGTGTTTTGTTTTGACTTTGTTATTGTGTCTGGCACCCTCCAGTGCATATAACTTATGTAAGTCCCTATCAGATTGCAGAGAAATTGAAAATTTATTCCTTTTATGTTGATCGCAAAGGAAACCCAATTTCTGCTGAAATGAGAGCTCTTCTCTAAATGGGAATCCATATAAACCCTGAGTGATATGAGAAATCAGCTTAATTGTATACATCACTGATGATGGCAACACCGCAAGAAAATCATGTTTTGGGCTGTTACATTTTATGCAGCAGAATTAGGATTAATTGAATCATTGGGAATCCTGATATTGTAGAATTTATACAGGTTGGGTACATGCCAGAAATTACATTTATCACACACACACAAATACCTCACTGTCAAGCAACAGTGCTTGTGTATTTTAAAGCAAAGTGAGACTTTACAAATCTAATTAAATCTGAAGATGAATGATATACATGTATTTCCTCCACCTTCAATAAACTATGCAAGTTGCTGACTAGATAGAATACAAAATGTGATGAAGTGCTTGGTTTTAATACCAGTGTGATGTGACACCCACTCCACCAGAGATATATTACATGAGTAGAACACAATGAAGTTACACAATAATAGCTGACATGGTATGACATACCAGACATGTCCCTGTGAGAAATGTGAGAAACGAGTCTTGTTACAAAGGTGTGGAGAAAATAAATACTGCTAATACAGCATTGATTTTTTTCAAATTTGATGTTAATAATGCAAATCTGTTTTTGACTAGAAGCATGCAGCTGAAAGATGTTTAACAGAAACTTGGAGGGGTAGTGATTCATGCAGTGGACTTGTCAAATTGGTTGACCCTACCCTATTGTGCTGCAGACTCCAGGAGTTGAATAATACGAAATGGCTACATGCCATTGTAGCAAATTAGTGAAGTGTGTTACATGTTGTTCCTTTCCCACATACCCAGGATTTTCAATTTATAGCAGAGTACCCCAATGCCACTGTGCTCTGAAAAGTGTGACTATATTTTATACCTAGGTAGCTACAAAATTATACCATACTTGTACATTTTTTGTACCCTAATTTAAACCTAATGGCTATACACAATGTGATACAAAATGTGAAAGTACCATGTGCAATTTGTCGCACATACGCTTGCATAAATTATAGATTTTTATATGGTCACATAATCTAATATGTAATTTTTGGGTTATATGCACTTTTATTAGATATGTTCTTCAAATAGAGCAAATATTGATCTGGTCCACAGTATTGAAGTTTATAATACTCTAGAAATATAAAAACAAAATAAATAAACTTGATTGTGCATCTACTGTTTATTTCAGAGAAACTACAGACGGTATATACCCCAAATTTCATTTAAATCTTTTTCAGAGATTTCCTAGTTTATGCAAAATAGGTAATTAATGTGTACCAAGATTTTTTAAAATCTGAGAGATTATTAAGAAATTAGAAAATTTACTACATTATGCAGATTAGGTAATTAATGAGCATTGGATTTCAATTCTAAAATAATCAGGTCTGGGGATTACCGTAGAGCATTTATGCACCAAGTTTCATTGAACTATGAGTGGTTGTGAGGCACCTATGGAACAGCTAAAATTGGTTAATTTGATAATTATGTGCAGGGATTTCAACTTTAAACTAATCAGGTCTGTAGACTACTTCTGGCACATATGCAACAAGTTTCATTGAAATCTGATGAAGGGATCTGGAGATACTTGTGAAATAGAAAAAAATTGGCTTCCATTTTGTATTTATTTATAAAATTAGGTAATTGCATGGAAATCAACCTTATACTTATATGGGAAGTGTCTCAGAGCACCTATTTACCATGTTTCATTAACATTTCTTGAGTGGCTCTTTGTTTGAGGTATCATAGAGAAAGCTTAAACTTGGCTGATTTGTATGCAGATGATGTGTCAAGTTCCATTGAGTACTAATGAACAACTCATGAGATATCAATGGAACAGGCACGTACAGGTAATACACATACACGAACACACATCCCAATAACCTTGAGACACTGAAGTAAAATGTTAATGGTGAAATACAAAAATAACTTTATTTCACAACAGAATCACCATGGATACAGTATGGTACCCTAAAATACACAAAAAGTTAATGTTAGAACAAAAGATCTTACTACAGGTAGCCAAAAAAAAGAAAATTGGTGTAATTCTGGGGGATATTTGAATTGGATAAAAAGGCTCCTATTGTTTTTCATATACGGCCGTTGACTAGAATTATGAATGACTAAAACATTTACCTGCATCTGAGTGTAATCAGATACGACTTACAAGTAGCTTGACATGCAGGTGTGAGTAGCACCTTCGCAGACTGAACGGCATCATTCGGAGCATCGCGAAGGGCACAATTCACGCGACCTTGTCAGGCTAACTTTACATGGGTATCCAACAATAGAAGTAAATCTTATTTACTGACTTCCCTTGAACTGTGATATAAGCAGTCACTTGGCAAATATTTACACAATACTGTAAAATACTTTATTTTAGCTTGAATTAATTTCCACTGATTTTTGATGAGTTGAAAGTAAAATATAGGAAAAAAGGTATATTCACTTGATTTTATTTTCACTGCTTCTTCCTTTCAGTGATAATAAAGTATTTTACAGTAATGTAAAGAATGATTATATTAGTATTATTCACACTAGTTCACATCCAGCTACATAATTAAAATACTATACTAGTCATTTCCCGTAATTCAACTAAAATACCCCCCCCAAATAATATATACACTATTTACCAATCAATCAATGAAATGAATTTGAAGTGAATGAATGATCCAGGCAGGCATAATCAAACATATAGATGTAACCATAATTATATTTTGTGTCCTGACAATGAAGTAAGTAAATATAAAGACTGAATACTACACAGCAATACATAGGGTAAATACTGTATTAAATCAAAGTAAACATGTACTGTGCATATGACTTATTATGAATGTATTAAACATTCACTGGGTTTTAATTTCATTATTTTCACTAGTAACACTTTTATTTTTTTTTTCAAAATGAAATGTTTATTTAAATGTATGTAATAATATAGTACAATGTTATTTTATTTTGATCTATTATTTATTTGTTGATTGTTGGTAATTGCCAATTGTATGTGGTGATAGTTGTATTATACTAAAGCATAAAAATACAAAATATTTTTTTTAAATAGTAAAAGTAAAGTAAATATATAAAATGAAATACACTCAAAAGCAGAGCGCCACCTAAGGCGAAATTGCAGAACGGTGTGGAAAGACAGGTGGTGGGGTTTCTAGACAGGAACTAAAGATTGAATGAGAAACGCAATGTTATCCCATAGGACGCTGAGCACACAAAAAACAAAGTGATAATTGAATTAAATATCAATAAAAAAAATGGTTTAACAGTATCTTTCTCAGTTTCTAAGACAACGCTTTTCTCCTCCCAACTTCCATTATTAAAAGCAGTCACAAAGTACCAGCTGCAATACAATAACATATAAATGTTCGCATTTTGACGTCGCCGTGTAAATTTCAATTGGCCATACGCGTATGATTGAATAGAAGGCGGTACCAAATGGTCAGTATTATAACCAATCACATCTCCCTCTTCCGATTAAAATGACGTAATTATGAATATGTTTAAAGTGTAAACGACAGTTCCACTACAATTCTGGAATACAAAAATTCAGAACAAATTCTACATCGAAACAATAGGGACTGATCAAATAGAAAAAAAGTAGCAGGTATCGTAGTCCTCGGTAATTATTCAATATAACCAGTGGTTTGGGTCCTGGCCTTTATCAGTAGTATGCGAATGCCATCACGCCTGCTGATTATTGACTGCATGGAAAAGACATTCAAAATTTATAAAATTGTCGCATTTTGTAATATATATTTTGTACATTTTGGTGACAGAATATTCCATATTTTGGAATCACAGTCTTATCCACACAATACATGTACTACTCACCTACAGCAACGTCAGATATGCCATGTGTGATAGTAGAGCTACCAGAATGAATCCAAGTCTAGATGCGACTACATTAGTACCATCATCCGCGCATGGCCTTTGCTGTGTTACAGTCGACACTGTAGTAACAACTGAAATAACAATATGAACACCTTGCTGGAGTTCCATAAAATAAAAGTTATACAGTATGACGGCTTGAATCACTCTATATAAAATATAATCAATGAAATGAGCGTGAGATGCGGCTGTGTGTAGACAATTATTAATGAATTTGTTATAGCATAATTCATTTAAAACGTTTGGCCAGTCAGAAACACATAATCATTTTTTGATCTGAACTCAGGAGCTGTTGGGAAAGCTAAGCATAAGCATCAAATCTTTTGGTCTTAGACGGGACTACATGCATCTCAACAACTGTCATATTTGTGATGTGTTGTGAACTGTTATGCCAACCTACCAGATTGACATTCTTCGCCAACAGTAACTCGGAAGTCGTCAAAATATACAAAGCCAGTTTCTTTATAACGATACAGAACATAAAAGGAGATAGAGTCAATATCCTTCTCAGTTTCTATGACAACGCTTTGCTCCTCCCAGTCATGGCTTCCGGTGTTAAAAGCGGTTGCAAGACCCCATATGTTGCTACCATCTCCCAGCTGCAATGCAAAACGTAGGTAGCTCTGCATGTATGTTCGATTTCGATCGTTTTGTTAAGATACGTTTTAAATGGCTCGACAATTACTTCGAGGGGGAGATATTTCGCGGAAACAATTAATAATATAATGCAGCGGGGCTAGAATATCTTTATGTAAAAATAAACTACATACATCTGAGGAAGCAAAACAAAATTGCAGCAACACCTTATCCCGATAGTCAACACTTAATGACGGAAACGTTAAAGCGCGGTGGTCGTCGCGCAGCGCGTGTTCGAATTTCATGTAAATAAACAATGTATTTTACACGCGTTGTATACGTCGCTATGAGTTCTATATCGAACAGGACACGGTACGACGACTG